TGTACTCAGACCAGTAATATTTGGGGTCCCAAGTTGTTGCCATGGATATTTTGTGGGTCAGAAGACAAAAAGTTTGGGAAACACTGTTATAGAAGACAACTGTGGGCGGGGCTTATTTAACACTGTCAAGTGTTGAGACAACACTGAGGAAATCAACACTGTGAATTAACACCAACACTGGGTGTCAGTTTACTCAGAAAGTGTTAAAATAACCTTACAGGGTGTTAAATCAACACCCAAAAGTTTAACACTAACATTTAATTTATTTAATTWATTTATTTATTTATTTTAATAATCAATCCTCAACTTACTCATAATTGGATCAGTGACATTTTGTTRTATTCTGTAACCGTTTATTTATTTATAATTCTCCTTTCTCTTCTTTCATTTCTGTTTCATTTCTTTGCTTTGTTTTGAAATGTTGCACAAAAGTTTAAAATGTTTGTCCTCACTGTGTTATAAATAAAACACAAAATAATTAATAATAATAATGAATAATCTGGGTTTATTAGATTAGCTGGTCTSTCAGGATACTTACTGGAGATGTAGGCGGAGATGAAGACGCCGGCGAGCGTGACGCCCTGAGCGAGCCTCAGCAGCAGGAACATCACGGCGCTGCTGGACAGACACACGGCCACCCCCAGCAGACCGGACAGACCGACGGAGAGCAGGAAGCCTCGCCGACGACCCAACCTGACCACACAGTCACACGGGGGCTGAAGCGGGACCCCCTGACAGTAAAGCACTCGTCAGCGATCACTCACCAGTCGCAGATGGAGCCCAGCAGGATGTAGCCCAGGATCCAGCCGCTCATGAAGCAGATGTGCTGCAGGGGGATCTTCCAGTAATCGCTGCAGACCAGGTTCCACTGCAGAGGAGGAGAACGGGTCAACAGAGACGAATCAATAAAAAACTGAACAGAGGAGAGATGAGGATCGAGTTCAATCCTGAGATCTTCTTATGAAAAACACACAAAGCTGAGAAAGTAAAAAAAAAACTGTTTGCTTCTATTTACTGTCTTTAATTCAATCAACATTTTCCACATTCTGTGTTTTAACACGTTCAAACAGCAGCTTTGATGATAAAACAAAGACTTTGTGAGGTTCAGTTTACTAAAACAGTGAAAACAGTTGAATTTATAATGAGGAAACTAATAATCCTGAACAATACATTTCACCTCTAAGTTTTAAACAAACATCTCTTCTGGTCTGTTGAGTCTTAAATTATGAGTTCACTCAACTACTGCCACGCCTAATTCTTACTCAGTGTCTGTAAAACTGACTAAACTACAGTCACTTTTTTTTTTGGGGGGGGGGGG